GGTTCTGTGTTCTGGTGCTCTGTGTTCTGGTGCTCTCTGTTCTGGTGCTCCGTATGCTAGTGCTCTGTGTGCTAGCGCTATGTGTCCCTGCTCTGCTTCTACGCTCTGGTGCTCTATGATGCTCATGTTCTGGTGCTCTGTGCCCAACTCCAATAATACAAATAACATCACATAACTTTCCATGATTGTTTCTCGCTGGCACGGGTTACTTTTTCGCTTGAACGAGCGTCTTCGGGGATGGACAGATTCCTCTAGTAAAACGTGGTTTAGTGAAAACGACGGGCGCAAGCCTGGAAACTGACGGCCGCGGCGCCCTCTCGAGAACCGAAAACGGACAATTCACCCATCGACGTGTCAGGGTTAGGAGGTCTGACCAACCCCGACGTCTTTTCCGTCGAACGATCCACCCTGATAAGGGGGGCCTTCCTGCAGGACAGCCTCTCCGGGGCGCGCCGAGGAGCCCAGGGGGGCCCGACTCCGACGGAGGAGGAACAAAAATCCTGGCGGGGGGGTCCGAGCACGGGGGCTTGCCCCTGCGCAGAGGAGCCCGAAGGAGGCACGAGAACTCTGCGTCGCGGGGGTGCCGGCGCGCGGGGGGTCCCACGCCCCCTGCGCAAGCAAGGGAGGAGAAGGAAGAGGGCCCAGACTGTAAACGCGGACCGAAGTACCAGCTAATGAAGGGGCCCACAAATATACAAACGAATACACACAAAGACCAGGATCCCCCATATTTCTCCATATCTTCTACGCTTTTGTCATCCCCCCCCACTTCCCATATTTTCCCATATTTTCCTGGGAGTCGACGATTAATTGTGTCTGTGTGTTTCCTCCCTTCCTGAGCTAAGTTGTATCAGGATGTCGTGTAACGCGAGTTGCTGTCTCATACTGAGGGTGCACTGTACAACGAATGGTGACACGAAACTAACTGCACTCGAACGCTAGCTGTACTGCAGGGCCAGGTGCTCTCTGGGAGCAGCTGTGCGCCAGCACATGAATAGTACTATTTTTACTCAAGTACTTGGGGTACTCTAGTCGGAGGGGTTCAGGGCTTCCAGTGGCAATGCGCGCGCGGAAAAAGGAAAACAATCCATGCGCCGCCGGGGTCCTGGGTTGAACGGGTCGCCGCGACAAAGGAACCCCCGCGGAAGGAAGAACAGAAATCTGGCAGGGGGGTTGTGGGTGGTTGGGGAGTTGAGGCATGAGTAGCGCGGGCGACATCAGGACTCAACAGTCAGGTTGATACGTCTTAGAAGTGTCAGGATGCAACAATCACGTTGATTCGCGGAAGTCCCAGGAATGGTGTTTTGGTGCGATTGAGGATTCTCTAACGGTGTCCTCCCATGGAGCAACTCCCACAATGACAACAATTTCTTGTAGGGACCTATGAAGGGGGAACTTGGAGGGAGGGCTTATTGCAACATCGTTGATGCATCTCGACCTTGCACTGGCCCTCTTCCTCTTCCTCCTCCTCCTCTTCCTCCTCCTCCTCATCATCACCATCACCATCACCATCACCATCACCATCACCATCACCATCACCATCACCATCACATCATCATCATCATCATCATCATCATCATCATCATCATCATCATCATCATCATCATCATCATCATCATCATCATCACCATGATCATCATCATCATCATCATCATCATCATCATCATCATCATCATCATCATCATCATCATCATCATCATCATCATCATCATCATCCTTAGTCCTCTTAATTTCCACGAATAACGGCCTGTGTGTGTGGGGGGGCCAACCGCAGTCTCCACGAAGCACAGGGGTCGGCGGATACCACGCCGGCGCAATGAACCGATAATATGGACGATGCCGTGCTTGGAGATCGGCGCAGCTGTGACGGGGAGGACGGGCCAGTGAAGAACGAGGACGCCAACCTTGCACCAACACCGATCCCGGCTAGGCCCAGCATGAGCTCAGGATCGGTGTCTGCGCCCTCGAGGCTTGGCCACGAAGACGCTTCGACGATCCTCAGAACGTGTGTTGGCGCCGACGCGTGCTGGTCCCTCGAAGCCCTTCGTTACGACGCACGTGGTGCAACGATGACCGACACAGGCCGAACGGGGTTAACCTAGGGCTCCCAACTTCGCGCTTCGCGCTGCGCGAAGCGCGAAGCGCGAATAACTTCGCGCTCTCGCGCCGCCCTCCCAAAGGGAGAATAGGAGGACGAGGAGGAGGGGGAGAAGGAACGAGGACCGCGAAGCGCGAAGCGCGAATAACTTCGCGCCCTCGAGGGAGCCCTTGGCTAACACACGTCCTGAGGATCCTCGCACGCTACACACCACTCCTGTGCCGAGCACCGGCCCAGCCAGGCTCGGTGCTGGTGCAACGTTACGCAGCGCCCTCCGCTGGGAGAAGGCATGAGCACGGCACGCGGGGACCAGGAAGACGAGGACGAAGAGGACGAGAACGCCTCGCTGTCGTGCCCCTCCTCCAGGATGCGGTCGGACCGGCGCCCCCTCGCTGGGGCGTAGTCCTGCATGTACAGGGCCGCGACGGCGGATGTCGGCGGCGAGCGAGGGGGGAAGCGAGAAGGGGCGGACCCTCTCGGAAGGCTCGGAAACCCCCTGGCCTTCTGGGGAGCTCTCTGAGCCTTCCCCGCAGACGCAAACAGCTTCTCGGGAGGCCGGGGGGCCTCTGAGAGGCCCCGCCGCCTTCAGAGAGGGACTTCTCCTCCTCACTTCCCCCCCTTGGCTCGCCGCCGAATATAACATTGCCAACAGCATCAGGACGGCCCCCTGGACCGGCAGGACGGGGAAGAATACCGCCATGCTGGAAGCGTTCAGCCCGGCGAAGATGGTGGCGGAGGCGAGAGGGCCCAGGAGCTTCGCGCACCAAGGGGTGCGCGCCCGGAGGGACGAAGCGGACGATGATCGGGTGTTGCTGGAAATGGCCCTGGCCTAATCGGGGATCTACTGACCCGGGTCAGTCAGGCGTTGCAGGATCCGGCAAGATCCTGCAGGATCCTGCAGGATCCTGCTCGCCAGCCCAGGCTCTGGCTCTGCAGGATCCTGCTGGACCCAGCGCTCTGGCTGACCCCTGTTTGCATTGACCCCCGTCCCTTGAGCCCCGACCTAAGGTGGCCTCAGCTTCGCCGGGGAGGTGCAGGCGGCTCCCAGAGCACCCCCTCACGGGGCCCAGCGAAACCCCGCAGTGGCGCGAAAAGCCTCGTGGGCCAGGACCACTCCGAGCAACACTGGAGATGACGAGGACGAGGCGGAGGAGGAGGAGGAGGAGGACGCCGACGAGGAAGCCCGCGCCGCAGCTCTGGACGCGCAGGGGGAGGAGGCCCTGCGCCCCGCCGCTGCCGCGGGCGCCCTGCCCGCCAGCAGCAGCACCAGGTTCAGCGCGAGCGAGTCGGAGCAGACCCACACCAGGGGCAGGACCACCAGGCCCCGCACGGCGATCTGGGAGCCCCCGCCTCGGTGGTCGCTGAAGATGATGTTGGTCACGAACGCGGGGCCGAGGAGCCCGCCCGCTGCACGGCCAGCGTGCCGCCACGAGGAACGCGGAAGAGGGGACGAAGGGGCTAATTGCCTGGCCACGGCAGGCCCCGGCTGCGGAGCGGCTCCCGGACTCTTGGACCGAAGGACCGGCCCGAAGACCAGAGCCCCTCCTGAGCCCGAAGTGGCTCCTGTCTAATCCTCCTCCTCCTCCTCCTCCTCCTCCTCCTCCTCCTCCTCGTTCTCCTCCTCTTCCTCCTCCTCCTCCTCCTCCCCCTCCTCCTCCCCCTCCTCCTCCCCCTCCGCATTCTCCTCCTCCTTCTCCTCCTCCTCCTCCTCCTTCTCCTCCTCCTCCTCCTCTTCCGGCTGTACCCACCACCATCAGCAGCCTGGCTTCGCTCGTCGCGCCGCCATCTTCGCGCCCGCACGAGGCCACCTCGGAGAAGGGCAAGAGTCCAGCACAGGCCGCGACGCGCGAAGCGCGACTGCCTTCGCGCCCCTGCGGGTGACCTGACTAACCCACCCTCCCTCGCACGCCTTCCCCTCGCCGTCACTGGTGGAGGAGGAGGAGGAGGAGGAGGAGGGAGAAGGAAGCAGTACAGTGGATGAGCTCCTGCGCCCGAGAAGAACAGATGGGGGAGCGCGCCAACCATGGCCGTCAGCAGGGGAACGGGGGCCTGCCTCAGGGCGCCGACCTGGGGCGGAAACAGAACAAGTAGCACAAACCTTCGAAGCCGATTGATGGATGCGCCTCAGGATTGCCCCTCGCACTTCTATTTCGTATGTGCCTCCCTCGGCACACTCCTCCAGATTAATGTCTGAGGCAGCCCAAATCGATGGGAGGATACGAGAGAGCAGACATTCCACCCTCACAATAAACAGCCCGACAAAATAAGCCGCTTGGTAAACGCACCTAAGGAAGGACTCAAACAGGGCCAGTCTGTTTAGTAAACGCCCAGGGCCATTTTGTAAACGCCACTAATCAGGGTCGGCGTTGATTTTCCTCCCTTGAATCATACTGCCTAGATGTATCGGTCTTTATGCACCCCCTATGCTACCCTCTGCGGCAACTCCTCCCGGACGAACTCCTCGAATGCGGCCACGCTCCCAAACTGCGCCGCGATGTCCGCGACTAGGATCTCCCTGTGAGCCTCGAGGAAGCACCTGGACTTCCGCACGCTGAAGGACGAAAGCTGCTCATGCAGCCTTCTTCGCTCGTCCATGTACTTCTTCGCGAACCTCCACAATACGAAGGACGGCACAAGGTACAAGCTGCAGAAGCAAACAGTGAAGATAATAGCAACTAAATAGAAATATCTTGCCATTGAAGGGACGTTTTTCTCCACCCACACCAAGTGGTTCTCGGACAATATAAAAGGAAACACGGGCACCACGGCAAAGGTGGCACACGTGTGGAAGAGGACGATTGCGAATGCGAACGCGGGCATTCTGACTGGCACAAAGTGGACGTTGTGAGAGTCCCCGCGCACATGGAGGAAGGTGGCGAACTCGTGCACGCACAGCAGGCTATCAAAATACTCTGGCTCCCAGAGGAGGACCATTCTCCTCGAGTTCTGCAATGTGCGACTCACGTTGCGGATCGCGTCCAGCTGCGACTCGGCGCCGGGGCCGACGCAGCACTTGTTGATATTCGGGCGGGTGGTAGCGGGGGGTGACGCAACTGGGGGGGTGAAGAAAGGGCCCCTTCAGGGCTGGTCCCTTCGCCCCCCATGTGGGTCGCCCCCTCAAACCACCCGCCCGAGATGTACAAGTTCATGCGCAGCAGGCCCGGCACGTGCGGCGCCAGCACCAGCATCAGCGGGAACGTGATGCAAGCGACGATGAAGTTTGCCGTCAGGCAATACTGCGTGCGCGCGTCGAGCGAGATCACCTCGCAGAAGTGCAGCACGCCTCCACGCAAGCCCAGGACACGGGTCGCGACGTGAACGGCGACGTCGCTCAGCATGGCGACCGCAACCGCGGGGATCAGGCTCATGGTGTACAGCAGGGCCCAAGCCTTTGCGCGCCACGGCGTCTGCCAGGAGTGGGACACGAAGTAGTCGATCCCCGCGGCCCCGTGCGACACCTCGAACGCCGACCCCGACGCGGGCCCGCGCAGGACCGCGGCGAAGCTGCGCAGCGCGCGCCTCGCGCTCACGACGCTGCAGGGGGCGACTGCCGAGGCCGAGGTCTCCGTCGGGGCCTGCGGCAGCAGAGCACGGCGCCTCTCCCGAGCACGACGGACCTCGGCCTGCTGCAGCATGGCAGCCTCCTCCGCGGCAAACATCTGCCTGCGGAACTTCAGGATGACCTCGTCCAGGCGAAGGGGGGGGAGGCGACGAGGGGAGGAAGGCGACGAGGGAGGGAGGGAGGGGGAGGAAGAGGTATCGGTTCAGACTCGTGCGGCTCGGAAAGCTTAAGTGCTACAACTGCTCGACGGCGCTACCAAACGTGGGTGGCGAGCTCAGAATCGCCGACACACGCGGTCCCCAGCGACAGCGTCGCAGATCGCAGCCCCCAGGGACGGCGAGGTTTACCTCAGATCCCCGCGGTGTCTCAGCCCGCAAAACCCACCAGCAGCCCTCGAAAGTGGCGACAGCGTCGCAAATCGCAGCCCCCCAAGAACGGCGACGTCTCGCTCAGTTCCCCGCTGTGCCTCAATCCGCAAGACCCACCAGCCGCCCTCGAAAGTGGCGACAGCGTCGCAAATCGCAGCCCCCGAGAGTGGGGGTTAACCAAACAGAGTTCTCCATATAAACACGTCGCTGAAACACGTCGCTGAAACACGTCGCTGAAACACGCCGCTAAAACACGTCGCTAAAACACGTCGCTAAAACACGTCGCTAAAACACGTCGTTACAACACGTCGCTAAAATTCGGCACTGCAGAAGGTTGTCGGGGTGGGGAGTTGGCTTGTTGTCCGCTTGCAATCCCGGCAGCCCTCTGGGCGTAAGTGGTTCAGCCAAGTGCGTCTTCTTACTGCTCAAAAATCCTCCTTCCTCTGCTCGGGGGAGGGACCCCCTCCCCTGGGCCTGGAGGGAGCGGGCCGCGAGGCGTCAAAGCGTCCTTTTTGGCCCAAGATGGCTCCAAGAGGCCCTCCGAGAGCCCAAGAGGCCTCCAAGATGGCCCACGATAGCTCAATATGGATCTAGATAGCCTCCGACACGCATCTAAGAGGACCCCAGACGGCCCAAAGGTGGTTTCAAGTGCCCTCCGAGCCCTCCAAGGACCACCCCCCACCCCCCCAACAGGCCAAACATCCTTCACACATTTCAAGACAATCAATGTGTTGTGGCCTCTCGCTTTTTCGCCTCCGATGGGCTCTTGAGGCCTCAAGATGGCCCCAAGATGGCCCAACCCCCTCTTTTTGATGATCTCCACGCCACCACCCCCAAGTGGTGGTGGTGGCGTGGTTCTAGTGACGTAATTCTAGTGACATGTTTCTAGTAACGTGTTTCTAGTGACGTGTTTCCAGTGACGTGTTTCCAGTGACGTGTTTCCGGCGACGTGTTTCCAGTGACGTGTTTCCAGCGACGCGCTTCCAGTGATGTGTTTTTCTAGTGACGCGTTTCTGGTGACGTGTTTCTCGTGACGCGTTCGCGCTTTTCGCGACGTGTTTTAGCGACGTGTTTTAGCGACGCGCGTTCCAGCGCCGCGTTTCCTGTGACGTGTTTCCAGAGACGTCTTTCGAGTGACGTGTTTCGAGCGGCGTGTTTCGAGCGGCGTGTTTCGAACGGCGTGTTTTAGCGACGTGTTTTAGCGGCGTGTTTTAGCGGCGTGTTTTAGCGGCGTGTTCTAGCGACGTGTTTTTGGCACCGCCGCAGCCACGACTCCGACCGCGACTGCGACCACCACTACGACCACGACTACGACCACTACGACGACCACCACCACCACTGCTGCACCACCACGGCTACGACTCCTACCACTACTACCACCACCACCACCACCACTGCTGCATCTACTACTACCACTGCTACTACCACTACGACCACCACTCCTACTACCACTACTACCACCACTCCTACTACCACTACGACCACCACTCCTACCACCACTACGACCACCACTCCTACTACCACTACGACCACCACTCCTACCACCACTCCTACTACCACTACGACCACCACTCCTACTACCACTACGACCACCACTCCTACTACCACTACGACCACCACTCCTGCTACCACTACGACCACCACTCCTGCTACCACTTTTCCTACTACCACTACTCCTACTACCGCTACTCCTACAACCACTACTCCTACTACCACTACTCCTACTACCACTACTACCACCACCACTACCACCACTACTAGTTCCACTACTCCCGCAACCTCTACAGGCCCTACAGCGACGTGTTTAAGCGACGTGTTTTAGCGACGTGTTTTTAACGACGTGTTTTTACGGATACCAGCTCTGTGTGGTTAAACACGTCGTCTGTTTGGTTAACTTACCCCGTTGCAGCCCCCCAGGGACGGCGAGGTCTCGCTCAAAGCCCCGCGGTGTCTCAGTCCGCAGGAACCACCAGCGGCCCTCAAAAGTGGCGTCCGCGTCGCAGATCGCAACCCCCCAGGGACGGCGAAGTCTCGTTCAGATCCCCGCGGCGCCTCAGTCCGCAAGACCCACCGGCAGCCCTCGAAATTGGCGACATTGACGCAGATCGCAGCCCCGTAGGGACGGCGAGGTCTCGCTCAGATCCCCGCGGTGCCTCAGTCCGCAAGACCCGCCAGCAGCCCTCGAAAGTGGCGACACAGTCGCAGTCGCAGCCCCCCAGGGACGGCGAGGTCTCGCTCAGATTCCCGCGGCGCCTCAGTCCGCAGGACCCAGCAGCAGCCCTCGAAAGTGGCGACCGTTTCGCAGATCGCATCCCCCCGGGGACGGCGAGGTCTCGCTCAGATTCCCGCGGCGCCTCGCCCCGCTGGACCCACCAGCAGCCCTCGAAAGCGGCGACAATTTCGCAGACTGCAGCCCCCCGGGGACGGCGGGGTCTACGTTAGATCACCGCGGCGCCTCACTCCGCCGGACCCGCCAGCGGCCCTCGAAAGTGGCGACAGCGACGCAGATCGCAGCCCCCTAGGGACGGCGCGCGCACGCGCACGAGATACGCGCAAGACAGGAGGAGACATGACGGAGGCGGGAGACGGGAGGCGGGAGAGGAAGGAGAAGGACGTGACAGCGGTGCTCTATTCAAAACGAAGACCCAGCCGAGGACGGTCGGGAAAAGCCCAAGGGCTTTGCAATAAAAGATTTGCGCAATTCACGTCCGCGCGCTCGCACTAAAATCGTGCAACAACCATAAGTTATTATGAATGTTGCCAACTCCAGCGGGTTCATGTCACCGCGCGGTGCGCCCGCGATACCTCTCTCATGCGCCGAAGGCACGAATCCCTTGCAAATGCAAGCCGCGTGGGCCCCATGCGCGCACCGCCGCGCGCGCATGATCAGTCTGACGGATGGGTTGAACTTCCGCGCGCGCGGATTCCCGTTCAACCTTCTCAGCATCACCGCGATCACCTGCCTCACCGACAAGTGGACATCAACATCGTCAAACGGTTTGCCACCATTGGCGCCGTTATCGTTCGTGCCGTCGCCCTCTTGAACATCGTTGTAGCTGGTGTCATATTCGTCATTGACGCAGACGTTGTCGACGTCATCTTGCCATCGCGCACGTCCGGGTATCGTCGATATGCGCACCTTCATCATCGACGCACGGTGGCGAGCATCGGCAGTGAGGATGTTATCATCGATGTCGTCATCGGTGGCGCCGCCGTCCCTTGCATGATGTGTTTTGCCAAACTAATTGCGGGTGGGATGGTGGGATGTTTGCGCGAGCAGTGGGGATGACGACTTCCAGTTCAGAAGAATGGATTACACCACCTAGAAAGCACCGAATACATCAAGAAATTGCTGTTTGGGGCCCGCGTTGGCCAGTATTACTCTGATGTTCCTCCTCCTCCTCCTCCTCCTCCTCCTCCTCCTCCTGGCTCCTTCTCCTCCCCCTCCTTCCCCTCCTCGCGGTCCTCCCCCCCCCTTTCCTCCCCCCCCCCGCTCCTCCTCCTCCTCCTCCTCCTCCTCCTCCCTCCTCCTCCTCCTCCTCTCCTCCTCCTCCTCCTCCTCCTCCTCCCCCTCCCTGCTCCTCTCCTCCTCCTCCTCCTCCTCCTCCTCCGCCCTCTCCTCCTCCTCTCCTCCTCCTCCTCCTCCTCTCCTTCCTCCTCCTCCTCTCCTCCTCTTCCTCTTCCTCTCCTCTCTCCTCCTCTTCCTCTTCCTCCTCCTCCTCCTCCTCCTCCCTCCTCCCTCCTCCCTCCCCCTCCCCCTCTCCCTCCCCCTCCCCCTTCTCCTCCTCCTCCTCCTCCTCCTCCTCTTCCTCTTCCTCTTCCTCTTCCTCTTCCTCTTCCTCTTCCTCTTCCTCTTCCTCTTCCTCATCCTCTCATCCTCATCCTCATCCTCATCATCCTCATCCTCATCCTCCCTCATCCTCATCCTCATCCTCATCCTCATCCCTCATCCTCATCCTCATCCTCATCCTCATCTCATCATCATCATCATCATCATCATCATCATCGTCATCGTCATCGTCATCATCATCATCATCATCATCATCATCATCATCATCATCATCATCATCATCATCATCATCATCATCATCATATTCCCCTCTTCTCCTCCTCCCCCCTCTTCCTCCTCCTCCTCCTCCTCCTCCGCCTCCTCTTCCTCCTTCTCTTCTCGAGGAGGGCGAATCTGGCCTCGTCCAAGCGGCCGAAGCCGCCGGGTTTCGCCTCGATCGCCGCCCGTAGCATGAGCTCGTCCGCCGGGCAGCGGCAGCTCGCGCTCTCCGTCCGCAGGTCCTACGGCAGCGGGAGTAGCAAAGGGGATCCTACTCGGCGGCAAGCGAGGGGGTGGGACGTGAGAAGAAACGGGCCTTATCAGAAAGCTCGGACGTCCCCCGGCCTTCTGAGACATGTGCGAAGCCTTCCCCGAAGACACGGAAAACTCGTCAAAGGCGCGAGAGCTTCTGAGAAGTCCTGCCGCCTTCTGAGAAGGCCTTCTCCTTCTCACTTCCCCCCCTTGCTCGCCGCCGACTCACAACACCCCCCAAAAAATAGCCTCGCAGACGCCGAAGCTATGACAAACTGAAAACTTGCGCAGCTGGCCCCCATCGGGGAAAGCGCCGTCCTGCAATGCTGAGACGCAGCGACTTAACGCCGCGCCATCCGTTCGCTCGCCAGCATTGGGGTACGAGGTTTTTGTGAGGTTAATTTGGTCGGGGGTGCCAGGGAGTGAAGCGCGGCTGTCTTCGCTCCCCGGGGGGCGACCTGGCCCACACACCGATCCTGGCCAGGCGGGTCCTGGGCCCAGGATCGGCACATAGTTACGTCCTCCTGGCTTGGCCAAGGAGGCGCCGACGCCCCTACAGGAGGAGCTCGACCACACGAAGTCTTCCACAAGAAACCCACCCCTGAGACCCCAGGAGGTCCATGGATCTTTGGTGTGGGCACGTCACGCTCTCCGTGGCAGGACCATCGAAACCCCAGAAGCCCAGGGCACCCTGGAGGCAAGCGGGGTGCTTCTTGCCATAGGCCTCCACTGCAGGCAGCCCGACTCGGCGCATCGCGCGCCGCGATGCGCAGCGTCTTCGCGCCTTCGCGAGGCCACCTGCGAGAAGGACAGCTGTCCCGCCCGGGCCGCGACGGGCGAAGCGCGATTAGCAGTCGCGCCCCTGCGGGTGACCTGGGGGATCGGGGGGGGTCGGGGATCGAACAAGAGGGCGGATCGAAGCAGAGGGGAGGATCGAAGATCGGAGGATCGATGGGGGACCCGGGGATCGAAGAAGAGGGAGAGGTCGGGGATCGAAGCAGGCAGAGGAACGAACAGCGTCATAAAAAGAACTTCTCGGAGGTCCGCGCGGACTTCTCGAATCGGGGCTGAACCCAGCGCCCTGGCGCGCGGAGCGCGCTAGGGGCGGCGCCGCCGGGGGGGGCCCAGCGCCGCTCCGAGGAATCCGCGCGGGCTCCCAGAGTTCATGCTTCTGCCGTCTCTGCTCTTCGGAGGGAGGGGGAGCCAGGGGACGAGGAAGAGCAGCGGGATGAGGGAGGAATGAGGACGAGAAGCAGCAGGGGGAGGGCAGGGGACGGATGTGCGGGAGGGGGATGAGCGCGGGCAGGAGGAGGAACGAGACCAGGATGAGGATGATTGGAGAGTGGGGAGGAGGATGAAGAGGAGGATGAGGATGATGAGGAGGTCCAGTGTAAACCCAAGAGTCATCAACGATGTTGGAACACACCCTCCCTCCAAGCTCCCTCTTCATATGCCCCTACAACGGTTCATTTCCATTGAGGGAACTGCCCCGTTCGAAAACAACCGTTTGAAGGCCCTGAAGCACGCCAAAACATTGTCCTCGGGATTCCAACGCCACGGATGAACCTGACTGTTACGTCTTGACGATCCTGAGTCGTGCCAGACCGCCATTCCTGGGACTTCAACACAGCGGCTCAGCGTAATTGTTGTGCCCGCATAATCCTGAATCCTTTCAAAACATCATGTCTGGTACGTTGGTGATGGGAATGCATGAAACATCTGGCACATTGTGTAAACGAAAGTGCGCGATGCTAAGGCGATAGCCACATTTTGAAAACGACCCGCCCTCAATCCGTGAAACTCTTGCACATATTTGTAACGAATGTGCGCGGCGCTAAAGCGAGAGCCACACATTGAAAACGAGCCGCCCTCAATCCGTGAAACACTTGCAACGTTTCAGAGCGAATGTGCGCCGCGCTGAGGCGAGAGCCACATGTTGAAAACGACCCGCCCTCAATCCGTGAAGCTCTTACGAAACTTTAAGACGAATGTGCGCCGCGCTAAGGCGAGAGCCGCACTTCAAAAACCACCGGCCCTCATTGGAAAAGAAGTGCCAGGCGAAACGCCCGGACCGCCCTAAAAACTGGCCTCGGGGTGCGACAGGGAGAAGTTCTTCATGAGGAAAAAGAAAGGAGGAGGAGGAGGAGGAGGAGGAGGTGGAGGAGGAGAAGGAGGAGGAGGAGGAGCAGAAGGAGGAGGAGGGGGAGGAGGAGGAGGAGAAGCAGAGGAGGAGGAGGAAGGAGGAGGAGGAGGGGGAGGAGGAGGAGGAGGAGGTGAGGAGCAGGAGGAGCAGAAGGAGCAGGAGGGGGAGGAGGGGGATGGGGAGGGGATGGAGGGGGAGGAGGAGGAGCAGCAGCAAGCAGGGCGGGTGAGAGCAGCAACAACAACAGCAGCAACAGCAACAACAACAACAACAACAACAACAACAACAACAACAACAACAACAACAACAACAACAACAACAACACCAACACCAACACCAACAACAACAACAACAACAACAACAGCAGCAACAACAACAACAACAACAGCAACAACAACAACAACAACAGCAGCGAAGGATTGCAAAAAAACGAAGGATTGCAAAAAAAACCAAGGATTGCAAAAAAACCCTGGATTGCAAAAAACCCTGGGTTTTTTTGCAATCCTTGTTTTTTTTGCAATCCTTCGTTCGGGGGAGGGGGCAAACCGGAATGCCAGGGGTCCAGCAGACGCTCGGAGGCCGGGCCGACGAACTGCGCCCGGAACTGCTGCGACATCGCCCCCCGCACGCGGATGCCCGCCTGCGGTCAGCTCCTCCCCAACCTCCTAGTCTTCTGCCTCCTCCCTCCTCCTCCTCCTCCTCCTCCTCCTCCTCCTCCTCCTCCTCCTCCTGCTTCTCCTCCTCCTCCTCCTCCTCCTCCCGCCCTCCTCCCGCCCTCCTCCTCCTCCTCCTCCTCCTCCTACTTCTCGCTCCTCGCTCGTCGTTCCTCCTCCTCCTCCTCATCCTCCTCCTCGTTCCTCCTCGCTCCTCGCTCCTCCTCCTCCTCCTCCTCCTCCTCCTCATCCTCCTTCTTCCACTCCTCGTTCCTCCTCCTTCTCTTCTTTCTTCTGCCACTACTCCTTCTCCTCCCCCTCCACCCTCTGCTCATTCCCCACATGTCTTGTGGGGTTATGGTTTTCTTCCTCGCCGCGTCGCACCCGCAAGGCTCACTGACCTCCCCTCCTCCTCCTCCTCCTCCTCCTCCTCCTCCTCCTCCCTCTCCTTCTCACACACCACAGCGCAGCACAGCGCAGCGCAGCGCAGCTCAGCACACAGCACATTGACACACAGCACGTACACAGCACAGCACAGCACTGCTCATCACAGCTCAGCTCAGTTCAGCACAGCGCATCTCAGCACAGAACAGCTCAGCACAGCACAGCACAGCACCTCAGCACAGCACATCTCAGCACAGCGCAGCACTGCACAGCACCTCTGGACACCATAGGGGGTGCGCAGGGGGTGGTCTCTCAGCGCGGCCGCTATCCACGACACTGTCGCAAAGCCTAGCAGGCGTGGCACTTTCTGGACACCTCAGGGGGTGCGCATGGGGTGGTCTCTCAGCGCGGCCGCTATCCACAACACTGTCGCAAAGCCTAGCAGGCGTGGCACCTTCCGGACACCATAGGGGGTGCGCAGGGGGTGGTCTCTCAGCGTGGCCGCTATCCACGACACGTTCGCAAAACCTAGCAGGCGTGGCACTTTCTGGACACCATAGGGGGTGCGCAGCGGGGGTTCTCCCAGCGCGGCCGCTGTCCACGACACTGCCGCAAAGCCTAGCAGGCGTGACACCGTCTGGACACTGTAGGGGGTGCGCAGGGGGTGGTCTCTCAGCGCGGCCGCCATCCACGACACTGTCGCAAAGCCTAGCAGGTGTGGCACCTTCTGGACACCATAAACGGGGGGCGCAAGGGGTGGTCTCTCGGCGCGGCCGCTATCCACGACACGGTCGCAAAGCCTAGCAGGCGTGGCACCTTCCGGACACCATAGGGGGTGCGCAGGGGGTGGTCTCTCAGCGCGGCCGCTATGCAGGCACTGCTCTTTCTGGACACCATAGGGGGTGCGCTGAAAGGTGGTCTTTCAACGCGGCCGCTATCCACGACACTGTCGCAAAGCCTAGCATCGTGGCACTTTCTGGACACCATAGGGGGTGCGCAGGGGGTGGTCTTTCAGCGCGGCCGCTGTCCACAACACGGCCGCAAAGCCTCCTAGGCTCGGCACTTTCTGGACACCTCAAGGGGTGGGCAGGGGTGGTCTCTCAGCGCGGCCGCTATCCATGACACGTTCGCAAAACCTAGCAGGTGTGGCACTTTCTGGACACCATAGGGGGTGCGCAGGGGGTTCTCTCAGCGCGGCCGCTATCCACGACACGTTCGCAAAACCTTGCAGGCGTGACACCGTCTGGACACTGTAGGGGGTGCGCAAAGGGTGGTCTCTCAGCGCGGCCGTTATTCACGACACTGCCGCAAAGCCTTTTAAGCGTGGCACTTTCTGGACGCCAAAGGGGGGGCGCAGGGGGTGCGGTCGATATCCGTTTCGGGCTCGCAACGCGTGGCACGCGTGACGTGTTTTCGATGCCACAGGGGGTGCGCTGGGGGTGCCCTCGCTATCCGTTTCGGCATCGCAAAGCGTGGCAGGCGTGACATTTCC